AGCAAATGGAATGTTTTGTGCATTTCAGTTGCCTTGGGTTGTTTTCAAACATGTACAATTATAGCTGAAATTGAAATAATTTTTAAAAAGAATCAGAACTACATAAAATATCAAAACTACACGACCTCTGCTTTTATTATGATAACAGGCATTTCTGTAGTGCTTACTGTCAGGCTGTTCTAAGCACTTAAAATGTTAATTCATTTAATATTCAAAACAATCCAATGAGATAAATATATTATCCTTATTTTCCAGATTAGAAAATAGAGGAACAGAGAGGTTAAATTACTTTTCCAAGGTCACACAGCTAATAAAGTAAAGTGGAGACTTGAAGGCAGGCAATCTGGGTCCAGGGCCCATACTGTTAACTACTGCAGTGCCCTGGTCTTCACTATTTTAAAATTTGTAGCTATTTAGATGGAAATTGAGCTTTGGTTACTTTTACATTGTTTTTGAAATATGGGCTTAACAAATATTAAACATTAATGCTATCAGTCAAGCTATAAAGTTAAAATTTACTAAGAAAAACTGTTTATAAGACAGCATTAATTTAAGACAATTGATATTTTTATTGAAAATATTTGAAGAATCACTTCTTTATTATTATTATTATTATCTAATTTGCTATAGGGCACACTTGCTCACCAGAGAAAGTAAAAGAGAGAATGTGAGAAAACAATACACCAGGTTCAGGACTCAAACCATTGTAGCTCATGTCGGGAGTCCAGTGCCTTAACCACCACACCACCTGCTGGCTCCAAGAGGTGATATTTTTATTGCAAATTATTTCTATGGGCTCACTGAAAAATGACCTGAAAGATATTTTTTATTTGCAATAACTTTTGCTTAATTAAAAAATTATTTTTTTAATTTTTAAATTTTTCTTTGATTTACTACATGTAAATTGTACCTCATATTGCATATACTGTTACATATGGAAGTAATAAAATCATATTTCTTGAAAGATATTGAGAAGATCAATCCTTTTTTTAAAATGAAACCTTTGTAGCCTTTTCTTTAAATGATCTAAAAGTCAGAGTAATTAGCCACTTGAATATATGTAGTTCATGTTTATTGGAAAGTACTCTCAAAGACTTATTTTATTATCACAATCACTATTGTTCTGCTGGTGTTAAGCTCATTATTTGCAGCAGCTACTGCTGAAGTTAATAAAGGAGTGGCAATCGCATTAGTCTGCATCATTTGTCAGTCTGTGTTCGCTTCTACTCTGATTGTCTTTAGATGTCTTTTGACAAGAGGAGGTTATGGATGCTCCACATACTCACAAGACCTTTTGTGCAGATTTTATAAATGGCTGCAGTGAGTGACTCAGCTAAATGGATATGGCAGTTGTGAGTGGCAGAAACAGAGAGGAGAAAGTGATTGTCCCTCTTCACTGCTGGATGTGCTCTGTATAGTCATGTCTTCCTAAGGACTGTCTTGGTGGAGTCATTACCTGAGTGACAGTATGATGACATGATCTGGGCTGATGTCATGTACATTTCTCTGGAAATAGTCCATGTTGAAGATGGCCACCCTGACATTAGGTGACATTAAATCATATAGTAAGACAGGTAGTTCCTTCCCAGTTTTTTATTTTTTTATTTTTTTACTTTTTGTCGATTGAAATGGAAAAGCACACTTTAATGCCCCTGCATCTTTAACATTTCTCGAATCCTTCAAAATCTCCCTTTATAGTAAGTAGAGAGCAGGCCTCTCTGAACCTTGGCTTTGATAGGCAACTGTATCATGTAAGAATTTCATTTCTTTTTTTAATTGTTTTACCAAGTAAAATGTCCTTTTAGTTTTTTTGTTGTTGTTGTTTTTTGTTTTTTGAGAGTTTTTTGCTATAGGGCACGTGCGCTTGCCATACAGACAGAGACAGAGAGACAGAAAGCGAGAAATCACCCCCTGGGGGGATGGCCACGCCGCAATCCCTTCTCCTCTATTCTCCTCTCGGGATCTTAGGCGTGCATGCACACGCGCCTGGCATGAGTTTAAGCCACCGGGTTCAGGACTCGAACTGCGGTTGACTAAGTGGGAGTCCAGCGATATAGCCCTTATGCTAACTGCTGGTCCCATGTGTCCTTTTAGTTTTGACAGGGGATACTAGCTTTCTCTTTACAGTGGGAATAAGGTGTTTCTTAAAATCATTTTATTTAAAGAAAAGAGATGAGTTAGTCTGAAGACAAGTATAGAGAATACATTAATATAGGTGATATATAGCTATGGCAAAATTGCAGATTTGACAGAGGAATGTCAGAAGTTTGGGAAGCATTGGTTTAGTATATCACTTTGTTAATTTTGCAGAGATTCTCAGTATATTCTTTGAAACTCTTGGGACCAGGTTTGTTTTGGAATTCAGAGTATTCAGATCTTTTTGATCCACATGTAAAATGGTATGATTCCTATAGGAGACACTGGGTCAGTGCCGTCATACAACATGTTTATAACCGTGTAGCAAAACGATTGGAGTAAATAAAGACTATGTGTGATCCTATGTGAGTCTTCCACCAAATATGTTCTAACTAAACAGCAAAAATTTTTGATTTTCAAAATTTTCTGTATTTCACAATTTCAACTTGGAGATTATGGACTAGGTGGTGTGGTGGATAAGGTGCTAGACTCCCACATGACTGACCACGGTTTGAGTCCCAGACCTGGCAGCTTGCTTTCCTCACTTTCTTTTTCTCTCTCTTTTTGTCTCTATTTAAATGATTAGAATAATCATTGTAATAAATACAATTAAATAAATAATTTAAAAAAGAGATTGTGGACTACTTCTTGTAATTAAATTACATCATTTTCTAAACCATAGTCAGATTAATCATGCAGTAAACAAATTAGACCCCAACTTGGACAAAGTAATCAGAATGTGCCGTCTTTTAATTTATTTTATTGCTCAATTATGACCTCCTTATGCATTCTAACCTGTGCCAAAGGGCTAGGTAAATTTGTCTGTGAAAGAAAAGGTAAATAATCCAAGTACCTTGAACCTGCGTACATGAAAATGGCAGCCGTTTGGGGCCTGCTTGTTCTTGATGCAAACGGTTGGATTTTGGAACCCAGAGTTCTCTTCTAGTAGTTAAGAGCATAGCTGTGAGGGGACTGGCACCACACAATTTGGGGTAATATTTTATTCAGCGCTATGTTTTTAAGACGAAATACAGGAATTGTTTACAGTCATTTTTAAGACATCTTGTCAGTCCCTGCGTCAGCCCAGTTATCAGTGAATTCTTCATTGATTACTTCACTCTGGTGGTGATGCAAACGGAGCGCGATTGGCCTTTCAAATGTGATGGCAGAAGTGCCAGGTGCTTTACAGTCTATGAACTTACAACCCTGCGGAGCAGTTAAGCTGCATTCATTACATTTCAGAGAACTATGTTGAGTTATTTTGAATTTTTTTATATAGTCTGTGAAATGACAAGTGAGTAAGCATTTTTCTTATTTCTGAACACAGCCAAAGTGTTTCATCAGGCTCTTGATTTATAACCCTTGGGATCTTGCCTTTCTTTTGTGTAATTAAAATGAAAACATAAAGTAATTGATCATAAAGGTTATACATTTGAGGTGTTCATGGGCTTTGTATCTTACATCGCTAGTTATTTAAATAAATTAATGAAGGAATACGACATGGATATAAGAAGAAAATATTTTCCTTTTATAGTGTATATTTCCTTGAGACACTTATTAAATTCTCACTTTAGTGTTCTGTAGGAAAAAGTGTAGAATCTGAAGCCAAGGTCACTTGGCTTCTACAATTCATTTATCTTTTTTAATTTGTATAATGTCATCTAAGATTTTCTATGAAAGAGTAGAAATTTTTGCCAATAGTATCTCAGCCCATCAGGTGTTAATTTTTTTATTTCCTGATTCACTCCCATGGACTTGCCCAAATTTTTATTATGACATAGGTAAGATAGGCAGTGGGGCTTATTCTGATAGAATAAGCCACCCACTTGAACCCACTCAAGAAAACTTAGTGGATTATAACTAAGGATGACATTTGCTGTGGATGTAACATTACATCTACCCAATTAAGGGCACTTACAGATATTGAAAATCCACTATGAGGATAACACCCTGACTAGTATTACTCACCTAGTACCTCACACTGAACATGGTTAAAAATCACCGTTCATAACATTAATAACAATTATAATAGTAATGGTGACAAATGCCATTTACTGAGTATTTAGCGCCTTGACGTGTCAAGTGTTTTACATGTCTGAACTCCTTTAATCCTCCTAAGCACACGATGAGGAAAGCATAATAATAATCCACTTTTATGGATGAGGAGACTTCGTGAGGTATCTGGAGATTTAGTAAGTTTCCAGTGTCACAGGAAACAAGGTATTCTGGCTTGACTCTGTTTATTTGCTTTCAATTCTTTTTTCCCTACAAAAAAACCTACAAATACTGAAACATTTCAAATCTTTGCAACTCAACTTTGAGCAGCCTAACAAAGCTAGAAATCATGGAAGCAACCAAAAAAATGTCTGTAATTAACACAGAAGGAAAAGTTTTGCTGTACGAGACTACGCACGTTCATCAGGCAGTATGGAGCCAGACACTGCTTTGGGTCCTTTGGTAAAGGGTCATTGAGTCTGAACTCGTCAGTGAAGCCTGGGGACCATCGTACAGTCACTAATGCTTCTAAGTTTACTAATTAAGGGGAATGAAGTTTAGTTTAATCCGTGAAGGCAAAGACTTAATTGATTGTACAGAGATCTCTAATGTGAGAAAAATAGTGCTTGAAGTATGCAAATATTTATTTAGAATGATTCCTTCTATATGCAGTTCTAGATAACTGAGATGGTTCAAATGTGAAAAAGAAAATACTTGTAGATCTTGAGATGTGAAGAAGAAAAATGCTATCTTAAAAAAAAAATGTGCTCTTGATCCCCACCTACCCTATGGTATGACTAAGAAGGGAAAGTTAAAATGCACAACGAATTCCTTCTCCATTATTTGCTCTGTTTTAATTTTTCCTCCAGATCACTCCTTTGACATCTTTAAAAAATCCAAGCAATCCCCAACATTCCTGGCTGCGGGCCGGCTTTCTGACATGCTGAATGGAGGCGACGAAGTCTATGCTAACTGTATGGTGATAGATCAGGTAAGGCATGGCGCCATTGCAAGGTGGATCGCTGCTCCTCCCCAAACCTGATGTGTGAGAAAATCAGCACTGTTGTGTTCTTTTAAAGTTTCAGCAGCCCAGGGATGCTACTGAGAAGGCTACTGACATGAACATTTAACTTGACTCTTACTGGAGAAGACAACACGCCTTACCCCACCAAGAAACACCGTAAGGGAGTGTCTAGGCACATTGCCAAATGAGAGGAGAGCCCTTCAGTGGGGCCAAAATAGGAAATGACAACTGGGTGGCCAGTATCTTCTCTACGGTTTTTCAAATGGCAGTGTATATTATAACCTCACTAAGCAATATTTGTTTTTAAACCTAGCAAATGATAATGAACAAGTGCTTGGTCCCAGCCCCGTATGATGCTGTTACTTAAATTACTTGCACAATTACTTGCAATCCTTACAACACAGCTATGACCGTGTACTAAGGTTGTAGAGCTTTAGTATTAAAACAGAATGGTATCATGTCACAGGGAAGCTGGATCCTTTTACAGTTTCCTGATAGAGACTTAAATGGTATACAGGCAGATGGTTTGAATGTGTCCACATCTACGTATAGACCTTATCTTTTAAATGTACGTATTTTCTTTATTCATGATAAAGCATGTGTGCACATACTTGAACATGTGAGTGAGAAAGAGAGAGAGAGGAGCTTACACTACAGGATCCGGTTGCTATGATCCCCTTCCTCCAGTTTTGTAGATCGTGGGCACTCATGCATGTGCCTGGCATGTTTCGGCCCACCCAGACCCGAGAATCAAACTGTAGTTGCCATGTGGGATCCAGCCTGTCTCGAGCAGTGCATTATCACTGTGCCCTGGAGCCAGCCCCATGTGGACTTACTTTGTTCTTTCTTTTAGCTCTGTGACCCTCAAGTTATACTATTTATAAAAGTTAAAATAGAGTCATAGATCTGAAGATTTTGGCATACCCTAATTTATTGGAGAGTTAAGAGATTAAGGGTAATTTTGTTGTTGAAATTACCCTTGAAAACTTTTGTACAACACACAAGTTTTGCCTTATCCACTGACTTTAAAGCCCATATGAGATCACCACACACACACACACATACACACGCACACATACACACACATGCACTGCTCAGGACAGTTTAATATCAGCCCTAGTTATAGAAATCTAGGATAAGTGTGGAATTTAGGACAAAGTGGGAGTTCTGGGGACAGTCTTTCAAGATACAAGGTAAGGGAACCAGCAGTTAGGGTAATGGCTATGTCGTTGGACTCCCACGTAGTTGACCGCGGTTTGCGTCCCAGACCTGGTGGCTTAAAACTCACACCGGGCGCATGTGCGTGCGTGCCCAAGATCCTGAGACGAGAATGGAGGAGAAGGGATTGCGGCGTGACCATCCCCCATGGAGTGGTGATTTCTCACTTTCTGTCTCTATGTCTCTCTTTGCCTGTCTGGCGAGCACACGTGCCCTATAGTGAAAATCTCTCTCAAAAAAAAAAAAAAAAGATACAAGGTAAATGGATTTGGTGTGCTTTAGCCATGTTATATTTATTCATTACTTTCCAGCTTTATTTAGGCATAACTGTCAAATAAGATTTGTATATATTTAAGAAGTACAGTATGAAACTCTAATATAGGTAAGTATAGTGAAATGATGACCAAAATCAGACTTATTTAACATATCTATTACCTCATATATTTACCCTACCCCCTTTTTGCAGTGATAGTACTTAAGATCTCTTATTTTTACAAATTTCAGTTGTACAATGCATTATTATTAACTGTAGTCCCCTATATTCTTATCTTCTACTCACTGTTTCTATGAGTTTGATATTTCTAGATTGCACATGTAAGTAAGATCATATAGTATTTGTCTTCCTGCTTTTAGCTTATTTCACTTAGTATAATGTCCCCCAGGGCTATCCATGCTGTTACAAATGGCAGCATTTCCTTCTTTTTTAAAGGCTTGTAATATTCCTCTCTGTGTGTGTGTGTGTGTGTGTGTGTGTGTGTGTGTATGTGTGTGTGCATGGAATATATGATATTGTGAAATATTTATTTGGTCACTGTCCCCATTTCCTGGCATGCAACATCTCAAATCCTTGGTTTTTGCCATCGGGCAGGTACCACCATGCCCTCAAATCCTTGAAATTACCAAAATGATCTTTTTTTGTATGCTAATGACTTGACTGATAGCAATAGGTAGCTCCAAATGGAGGCTATTGTGAAATACATATTTAGCCTTTGTTCCCATCCTATTTGTATATATTTATGTGTCCCAACATGTAGTTCCTAGTTGGACATTCCAGAGAGATAGGAGTGTGTTTCATGTTTCGAGTGGGGGGCCCTAGATAGTGTCCAGTGTCTAGTGTCCAGGTTGGTACTGGTCACTAGAAGGACTAAGACGTAATTAGAGTGTTAGGACTTCCAGCCCTGCCTTCCAACCTTGGAGTATGGAAAGGGATTGAAGGTTGAGTTGATTTCCAATGGTTAATGATTTAACCAATCTTGCCTACATAATGAAGCTTCCATAAAAACCCAAACAGTCTGGGTTCAGGGAGCTCCTACACTGTTAAAAAAGCGAAGGTGCCTGGAGGGTGGCAAACCTGGAAAGGGCTTAGAAGCTCTGAGCACTTTGTCAGATTCCTTTCTCTATGCATCTCTTAATCTATATCCTTTATTTCATAATAACCAGTAAATGTAAGCAAAGTCTTAATTGTTTGTGAACATAATGTGTACATAAATTGAAAATATGAGGTCCCTCTGTTCCTTAATCTTTCATAGTTTATTTTTCTTAAGTCATGGAAATTCTTTTATCGAAGCATGGTGTAATTACCAAAATCAGGGAGTTCTTACTAATACGATTCTGGTAGCTATCTCCAAATCTTGTTTATTTTAACCAGACATCCCAATGTTTTTTGTAGCAAAAAGAAATTTTATTACATGCGCTGCATTTAGTTGTCATAGCTCTTTAATATCCTTCATCCAAGTCAGTTCCTTAATCTTTGTCTTTTATGAATTCAATTAAAAAAATGTTTTTAGAGGTTTTTGCTATAGGCCAGAAAGAGAGAGAGAGACAGAGACAGAAAATGATAAATCACCCCCCAGGGGGGATGGCCATGCTGTAATCCCTTTTCCTCCATTCTCCTCATGGGATCTTGGGCACACACGTACATGTGCCTGGCATGAATTTAAGTCACCGAGTCCAGGACTCGAACTGCAGTTGATTACATGGGAATCCAGCAACATAGCCGTTACGCATCTGCTGGTCCCTGAATTCAACTTTTTTTTAGAGTTTTTTTTTTTGAGGGTGCATGCATTTGCCAGAGAGAGAGAGAGACAGAGAGAGAGACAGAGAGAAAGAGACAGAGAGAGGGAAAGTGAAATCACCCCCTAGGGAGGATGGCTATACCTCAATCCCTTCTCTTCTTTTCCCTTCTTGGCATCTTGGACACACATGCGCACATGCTTGGCGTCATTTTCAAGCCACTGGGTCTGGGATTTGAACCAAGGTCAGCCATGTGGGAGTCCAGTGAAGTAACTTCTACACCATCTGCTGACCCCATGACTTCAATATTTTTGAAGTGTACCATTTAAAAATTTTTGTTTTTTATTGGACCGTTCTTCAATTTTAGTTTGTCTTATGTTTCCTCGTAACTGGTTTCAGGGTATGTATGTTTAGTAGGACTACTACAGAGGTGATGATGTGTTCTCAGTTCTTTGTATCAGGAGGCATATACCATCAATCTGTCCTATTACTGCCGAAATTATCTTTGATCTGTCAATTTTCTATTCACTAAAATCACCATTTTTATCTTTTTGAAAGTAGTAAGTATTTGATTGGAAGATATTCTGAGTCTCTGTAAATATCCTACACATTAGACTTTCACCTACTAGTTTGAGCATTCATTGATAATTTTTGCCTTAGTAAATTATGATAATGATCCTTGTTTGTTTAGGATCCTTTACTTCCCTCTTTTGCTTTTTTCCCTCCTTCATCACTTTAACTCCAGATAGTGTCATTCTCTTCTCTTGTATCATTTTCTTCCCAAGAAATGATGCCTTTTGGTGACTGCTACATCTAACGAGTATATTTAAGCTCTTTTCATTGAGCAACTTTGATCCATCAACACTCTTTTTTTTTTTTTTTGAGAGTTTTTTTCTACAGGGTGTGTGCGCTCACCAGAAAGGCAGAGAGAGACAGAGAGACAAAAAAGGATAAATCACACTCACACCCCCGGGAGGATGGCCACACTGCAATCCCTTCTCCTCCATTCTCCTCTCAGGATCTTGGGCGGGCACGCACGCACATGTGGCTGGCATGAGTTTAAGACACTGGGTCTGGGACTCAAACTGCAGTCGACTACATGGGAGTCCAGCAACGTACCCATTACACCATCTATTAGACCTCATTGATGCTCTTTTTAATTTGCCAGAGGGCCCATGTCCTTTTTGAAGCAAGACAGAGAGAGAGAGAGAGAAGAAGTGAGTAAGCAATCCCCGTGGTAGATGGCCATGCTATAATCCTTTCTCCTCCATTTTTCCCTCTTGGTGGAATTTTGGGCACACATAGTTGGCATAGTTTTCAAGCTGTAGTTCTGGGCAGGAGCCATGGAGTCAGCCATGTGGGATCCAGCTGGAGGAAATGCCACACCACTGGCTGGCCTACTAGGACTCTTTTTTCATACGTGTAAGTGGGAGTTCCTCTTCCTGGTGATGAGTTTTAGGTCAGCCTTAGGCCCTTCACTAATTTCCCTTTCTTTCTGCCACTGAGATTTTTCCAGACTGTTCTTTTTGCAAAGTCTAACAAAAAGGGCCCAAGGGATTGCTTGCCAGATTTGTTATTTATCTTATTATTTACAGGAAAAGTTGGGCCATTTTGTGTCTTTTAATTGTGCTATATGTAAGAGAACTTCAAAATGTTAATGGAAAAGTTGAATTAAAGCATCAGTTTTGGGACTAGCAGATGGCATAATGGCTATGCCGCTGGACTCCCATGTAATCGACCGTGGTTTGAGTCTGGGACCCGGTGGCTTAAACTCACGCTGGGCGCATGTGCATGCATGCCCAAGATCCCGAGAGGAGAATGGAAGAGAAGGGATTGTGGCGTGGTCATCCCCTCTGGGGGGTGATTTCTCATTTCTGTCTCTCTGTCTCTGTCTTTTTGGTGAGCGCACGTGCCCTGTAGTAAACCTCTCCCCCAAAAAACAGTATCAGTTTCTTTGGATGCAATGAATTTTGAAAACTATCCATAGTTTGTTCATAATACATAATTTCCACGAACTTTTGAAGACTTCTTATATACTTTATGTTATTTTAGTAGATTTTTATGTTTGGTGGTTTCTTGGAAAATTCAGACTTATGCGACCACTATTATGTTGGTTACCAAGATTCCCGTGAATGACTTTTTTCATAAATCTATATCCTCTTTATTTTTTCTCAAGTATTTAAGATATTTCTCCCTAATTTTGAACCAGTGGTTCACAAAACGTTAAAAGCATAATCCTTTTTAAATTTTGTAATAAAGAACAACTTTCTAAAATAGTTTGTCTTCTTCCTTTTGGGAAATTATGGAATGGCATCCATGTGAATAAAACGTACCATGGAAGAATTCTCTGTTAACATAAAGTAAAACAAAAGCAAGAACAAACAAATAAGATAAATAAGATGGAAGACTGTGAAATTTGAACAATTTTATCTTTAGTTAAGTCAATCTTTGCTGTCTTTGCTCAGTCAATATTTTCCTTTTGACTTCCAGGTTGGTGATCTGGATATCAACTATATTAACATAGAAGGAATTAGTGCCAACACCAGCCCTGAATCCACAGGTTCAACTCTGGGGCCTCAGAAATACAGACACATCCTTCCCACTGAAGCCAACCCTCGAATGTTCCCACTAAGTGAGAGCAACAAAATGACAGCAAATTCTGGAGCCCAGCAGTCCTTCGTGTCACCGTCTAATTCACATGCTTCCAACTTGAATCTTTCTTTTAGTCTTCATGGATTTGAAAAGGAACAAAATCATCTGAAGAAAAGAAGGTAAGATACTATATTCTAGAGGGAAACTGTAGGAAATAAAAACTTTGTGGCTTGACTTGGAAAAAAAATTTTTTTGTTCCCACCATTTTTATCTGTATATCAAAATGTTGCCCTCTTCCACATTCTTGTATTTGTTGATATGAAAGTAAGACACTTAAAGAAAATTGACTAAAATATAATAGAGGGAAACCACAAGATACCATTTTATACTTCCTAGACTGGCAAAAAATTTAAAGTCTAACAATAACATGTTTTGGTGGGAATGCATACAATGGAAACTTCCATGTACAACTGATAGGAGTAAAATTAGGTAACAACTCTGGAAAAGAATTTGACACTATCTTGCGATACCTTGAAAAGTTGAACATGACTTTTCCTCCTGTGTACTAGGAGACATATGCATGAGTATTAATAACAGCAGGGACTAACCCAAAAGAAGAATAGGTAAGTAATTATTATAAATATAATATAAATATTATATAAACAGTGCACAATGAAATAGTGTGCACTGATGAAAATAAATTAATCACAACTGAGTCTCTATGCATAATATGGCTCTTAGAAGCATGAAGATGAACAAAAAAGTAAGCCAAAAAAAGACTTCAGTTGAATTTCATTTTTATAATATGAAAAATGAAATAATTTGTTTTTAGCGGATTCATACATAGGTGCATAAACTAAAAAGAAAAACAAGAGAATGAAGGGGAGAAATACCCAAATTCAAGATAGCTGTCACATCTAGTGAGGATAGGGGAATAGGAATGGAATGGACTTGTAAGAGAATTTCCATGGTGTGGTCAGTACTCAAGTTCAAAGTTGAGTGGCTCTTGGGTCGTTGTTTTATTTTTGTACTCTCTAACTTACATTTATAGTATATATTTTTCTTGTATGTATAAAAAGTCATTAAAAATTTTTATTGTATATTATATTATTGTACGTACTTTAATGTGTACATATGTATCTATCTGTATCTGTTCATCTATGCTGTCTATTTTCTTTAAGAAATAGGACAATTTCCACTAATGTTATTTTAGCTTGTCCATTTTGCTTAGGAAAGGGCCTGATTTCTTCCCCATGTCCTGGTCCCATGGTTATATGTTCATTTTCACAAGTAAAATAATTAATTAAAAAGAACATATAATACATATAAAATATAATACATATACGTATATATTCTCTGACTGAATATCCACATAGGCGAATAAATATGTAGCAGCAATTTAACCGATTAGGCGGCAGAGAACAGGAGAGTAACCAGCAATATGTAGGTGTTAATCCCCGTGCTGTATTTTCATTGATATACAACTCGACCTTGTAAAATTTTAAGTAACAGTTATTGGTACCAAGGGTTATGTCTGATACATAAATAAGAAAAAGACTTTAGATTTATATTTGGTTAATTAAGGATTTGTAGATGCTGGGCAGTCATTATTATAAATCATTAGGATGGGACCAGTAGATGGTGTAATGGTTATGTCACGGGACTCCCATCTGGTTGACTGCGGTTCAAGTCCTGGACCCATTGGCTTAAAACTCACACCGGGCATGTGTTTATGAATGCCCAAAATCTCAAGAGAAGAAAGGAGGAGAAAGGATTGTGGGGTGGCCATCCTCTCAGGTGGTGATTTCTCCCTTTCTGTATCTGTCTCTGTCTCTTTCTCTGGTGAGTGCATGCATTCTATAGCAAAAATCTCTCTAAAAAAATCAATAGGCTATTTTGGATTCTCCACATATCTGCTTGGGATAAGAGGCTGCCAGTCTAGGCAAGATTCTATATAGTTCTTCAAAAACAGACCAAACCGTGGGTGATAAGTGCATTCTGGTAGTGTCTTTAATTAACATGTTGAGGGCATGATCCAGATCCCGAGATCTAAGTCAGCTTTTAGAAGAGACACTCTAGGGAGGCCAGACAGTGGTGCAGTGGTAATGCAACTGGACCCACATGGGAGAAGATCCTGGGACATGAACCTAGGATCTCCTTGGACACTCCAGGGTTTGTGTGTGCCTGTGGTCATTCAGACTGCCTGAGACTAGAGTTCAATTACAGTGTGAAGACTTTGTTGGGGATGCCTGTCTATGTGTCTCTTTTTCATGGAAGAAATAAATAACTTTACAGAAGAAGGGCATTCCAGGTGTGTGGGTGGAAAGGGCACGTGTCTCCATTCTGCTTTTGCAGATATTTGCAGAATATCTAAATTATACTTTCCGATCATGGTCTTGCTCTGGGAAGTTTAAAATTTAACTCCTATGGATAGAATTTTTCCTCTTTAGAATATAAGAAAACGACTTACTCAGAATAGAGGTAATTAGAAGTCTCCTGTAAATATGTCACAACTCAGAGAGAAGGAAGGAAGGAGAAGTCATTCTACATAAAACTCCCATGAGTTGACTTAATTTCCTGTGTGCCCCCTCTCCTCTGAAAACAGTAGGACTATGAAGAGAGGAGGGTGTGTGTGGCCATCATGGGAAAGCCCTGTGTGACCCTGTGTGGGTCCCTCCCTTCAGTGGATGCTAATGCACCTTGTTCATTAATAAGTGAACGATAGCCGGAGAGGCTGGGGCCTTCTGATAAAGGGCAGATCTCAGGGCACAAATTAAAAGCTGAGGCTTGTATAGGACAAGGCCGACTGCGACCTAAATTCTGTGTTTCCTAAGGTTTAAAAAAAATTTTTTTTCCAGGACCAGGAGTTGGCAGTAATGGCTACATCACTGGACTCCCATGTAGCTTACTGTGGTTCGAGTCCTGGACCTGGTGGCTTAAACTCACACCAGGCACGTGTGCTTGTGTGCCCAAGATCCCGAGAGGAGAATGGAGGAGAAGGGATTGTGGTGTGGTCATTCCCCCAGGGGGGTGATTTCTCGCTTTCTGTCTCTCTGTCTCTCACTGTCTTTCTGGCAAGCGCACGCACCCTATAGCAAAAACCTCTCCAAAAAAAGAATTTTTTTTTTCAGGGATTTTTGCTATAGGATATGTGCACTTACCAGAAACACAGGGAAAGACAGAGGTGTGGGAGTCCAGCAATGCAACCATTTCACTGTCTGCTGGTCCCAACTTTTCTTTTTTAAGAGAGATTTTTACTGGCGCTAACCAGAGAGACAGAGAGATACAGAGGCAGAGAAAGTGAGAAATCATTCCCTAGAGGGAATGGCCATGCACTAATCTCTTCTCCTCCATTCTCCTCTTGGGATTTTGGGCAGGTATGCACAATCACCTGGTGTGAGTTTCAAAGCCACTATGTCTGGGACTCCAACTAAGTCAGCCATGTGGGAGTCTAGCACCTTAACCACTACGCCACCCGCTGACCCTAGGTTTTAAACAATATTTTAGTGAAACTAAAATATTCACAATCTGCAAGTATTATTAAAAAAATTCATAGCTGGGACCAGCAGTTAGGGTAATGGCTATGTCGCTAGATTCCCACGTAGTCAACCGTGGTTTGCATCCTGGACCCGGTGGCTGAAAACTCACGCCGGGCACGTGTGCATGTGTGCCCAAGATCCCAAGAGGAGAATGGAGGAGAAGGGATTGCGGCGTGGCCATCCCCCCTGGGGGATGATTTCTCGCTTTCTGTCTCTCTGTCTCTCTCTCTGTGTGGCGAGCGCACGTGCCCTATAGCAAAAACCTCTCAAAAAATGAAAATAAAAATTCATAGCTGACGGGACCAGCAGTTGGCATAGTGGCTATGTCACTGGACTCCCATGTGATTGACTGTGGTTCCAATCCCAGACCCGGTATCTTAAACTCACGCTGGGCATGTGTGTGTGTGTGCCCAAGATCCCAAGAGGAGAATGGAGGAGAAGGGATTGCGGCGTGGCCATCCCCCCTGGGGGGTGATTTCTCACTTTCTGTCTCTCTGTCTCTCTCTCGGTCTGGCGAGCGCACGCACCCTGTAGCAAAAAACAAACAAACAAAAACACTCTCCAAAAAAAAAATTTATAGCTGTCTTGAGAAGTTCAGGAAGGAAATAAGCAATAGAACATATATTCTAAAATACCATAAGACAAAAAATTAGGTGAAAGAAGAGGTGTTTGTTTTATTCCAAAATTTGTATTTTCCAATTTTTTGCCTACATTCTGCACTAAGAAACCCGTATCATACTATGAACCCTTTCCCACACACTGAAAATTTAAGCAAAGATTTATGAAATAATATGTGGTTTGTATTCTGATTTTTTTAGACTATATTAGTTTAAAAGAAAATTCCAATCTCAACTTAATGAACTGGTATTATAGCCCACTAATGGAATTTAGAAAAACACTGTTGTCAAAGGAGAACTTAGACGTCCCAAAGAATATTGTCTATACTACCAGTGTAGATTTGATTAGCAGCCTAAACAAAGAAAAGTAGTAGCCCACTTTGGATTAATAGAAAAAGAAATGTTTTATAATATGCAAAATAAAACAATATTGGTCCTTCTAGAGCGTATTTATTGAGATGGAGCAATACTGTCTATAACCGGACAGGCTCATCTTGGGTATCAGTGCAGGCTGCCAGTCATTTAAAGGTCTAATTCTCATTAGTACAGAGATCATGAGTTGAAAGACAAATGCAGAGGGGCTAGACATCAGCAAGCTTTGGCTCTCCTTCAAGTCCCTTCTATTGTACCTTCAGATTTTCACTATAGTAGGAAACAACCTGGAAATATTTGTACTTTTATTACTGTGACATTCAACACACTAACCCTTATTTATAAGGGAGGTTTTCTTTCTCTAATGCCAGAGAGTGTATATGAGAGAGAAAGAGAGACAGAGATGGAGAAAGCATTGTCCAGTGGGGTCTGGTCATGCTGCCATCTTTCCTTCTAATTCTCCATCCCATCAAGATCTTAGGCATAGGTGTGCCCAGCACGTTTTTCAAGCCACTGGGGCCAGGACTTAAACCCTGATCTGACATGTAGTATCTGGCTACCCTGCACCTATGGTGCTGTGGGGCCAATCCAGGCAGATTTGCTGAACATGAAGCTTCATTTGTATTCATTTATTTTTAATGAGAAATAATTGAGCGGACTCTAAGATATTTGGGTGTTGAACTGAGATAAAGTTTGAAGCCTTTTCAGACTCTGAATCTGTCCTCTTCTCAATGCCAGGATGAAGGTCTTCAGTGAATCCTTGTAGGAGTAAGCCCCATTCTGAAAATACTCAGTGGTGCCAGGTGCCAGACTAGTCCTTACTGCCAGGTTTCCTGGTGCCTAGTAGTGTCCGGGGAAATGGTTCAAGGATTAGAGACTGCTCCAAGTGTTCAAATCAGGGCCATATAATGTATTATTGCTATTCTGTGTTCATTAAATAGCCTGTGTTTTTTAAAGAAAAATAATCCAAATGGGATAATTTGAAGTTTCATTGTTTGGTTCTTTATATTTCAAAATCAAGATAGTTTTTACTGTGTCATTATTAAAATTTTAACTCTGGAACTGTAACACCCAATGAAAAATATATTTAGAAATGCATTGTGCATTAACATACCCATGAAAGCTGCTGGCCTCAAAATTTGAGTAGATGTTATGTTATGGCCTCAAAGTCAAGGTTACAGGATGAATCTGGAGTGCAGAGGTCAAGTTCTTGCATTTTAACTTTATGGCTATGAAAGGTAAATGAGGAAAGAAATGTTGATATCAAGGAGAATCACCACCTGGTTCTGAGAGGAATTTTCGTAAGAATCCATTTTTAAAAAAATACCTGTGGGTGGTAATCTAGGATGATGGGCGTGGGGTTCATTTCTGACATGTGTCTTGACACAAGTCTGCGATAAGACCTTCACGTGCCTCTGCAGGTGCCTCTGCCCTCCGGAGCTTTCCCGTGGGGGAGGCGATGGAGAGAGAGCCCCGCTGCATATGCTCCATGCAGATCCCCGAGGCTTACTTCCACATAACCCAGTGGCTCTGTTTCCTCTGTATTTTAAACATTCGAAGAGTTGCTATTTGGGGCTTGTAAAAATTACTTGTACAAAGCATGAACAGTGAGGTTAGTACTAACTCAAACCATCTGTTTCTTAAGGTAAGGGAAATGGCTTTTGCTAGGTAGAAATGCTCATTTGGGGAAACCTTAAAAAGAGGAGCTTCCGGGCCAGCAGTTACTGTAGCGGTTACATCGCTGGATTCCCATATGGCTGACCGTGGTTCAAGTCCTGGATCTGGTGGCTTGAAACTGAGCGTGTGCGTGTGTGCCCAAGATCCCAGGAGGAGAATGGAGGAGAGGGATTGTGCCATGGCCATCCGCCTGGGGGAGAGGGGGTGTGATTTCTCTTTCTCTCTCACTCTCTCTCTCTCCCTCTGGCAAGTGCACACAGCCTAAGGTAAAAACCTCTTAAAACAAAACAAAAACAATAAAAAGAGGAGCTTCAGAGAGAGGGGAAAAATGGTAGTAGTTGGAAATTAAGTGAATGCCTGTCCTCTCAACTAGGGGGAGAATCTGAACTCAGAGAAGGAGAACTTGGGTCTGCATGCACACACCCAGTTACTGACTGCTTACTTCCTTCGTGTCTAGCTCCAGCCTCGATGCCCTGGACGCCGACAGTGAAGGGGAAGGGCATTCTGAGCAGTCCCACATGTGTTACACTCCAGCGTCCCAGAGTTCCTCAAGAACGAGGATTCCCAGTGGGGATGAATTGGACTCTTTTGAGACTAACACTGAACCGGATTTTAATATCTCCAGGACTGAATCACTTTCTCTATCAAGTAATCTGCAATCGAAGGTATTCTTATTGGTATCAGTCTGGTTTGTTGTAACTCTAGAGACTAGGTTGTCAAATTTATCTATTTCTACCTGAAAGACCAATTATATTTACTCACACATATGGACTATTTTGGGGGGAGGAGGGAGAACCTATACGATGTCTAATTGAGTATGTCTTTATTTTTTTTAAGTTTATTTCTTTCATGAGAGAGAGAGATGGAAAGAGAGACAGCACCCCCAACAGGGTCTTGATGCTGTGATTCACTCTCTGCTCCAGTCAACCCTGGTTTACCGTCACAGTGCCCATGTACTCAGGGAGGTGTCTGGATGTGAACCTGGAGCCTCCCCATGTGGAGCCATTTTGCAGAGCATCATGTTTTACCTCTATGCCACTGCCTGGCCCAAGGGTCTGTCTTTTTAATCTCTCCCACTTTTTTTTTTACTTTTTAGAGTCTTTACTCCCAATGACTGATTTATGTTTTCATTAATTCACCGTGAGCACATACCATCTTTCATAAATTTGGAAACTGTTACTATTTCATACAATAATTTCTACTATAATTTCTGAACAAAGGAATTAAAACTGATAGTATTAAGTTGTTTTAAAACTGATCAAACTTGTTTTGCTCACACATACATTTTTATCTGGCGAGGCATGAAGTAAATCATGTTAATAAGGCAGTGGCGTGCTCTGGGCTACAGGGACTACTCTGGAACACACACTCCTCAATGTTGCTGTAGGAGCCAGATTTTTCTCTTGTTGGCAATGCTAGCTACATTGAGGTTTCATTTTGCTTGTGGTTGTTTTCTAAAATAGCTAAATATATTCTTCCAGTCTTTCAGGGAAAGCCCTTTTGGGTTTGAATGTATGTCATCTTCCTGTTTGCTTTCTGTTGAGTTTACTTGTTCTCTTTCTGAGTTTACTACCATAAAACAATGTGTACTCTGCCAAAACATCTCCTACTCTGAACATGTAGTTATTATGGTCATGCCTCGTTTTTGTAGCATGTCCTACAATATGTACATGTTTTATGTATGTACAAAATACGTAATTGTTTCTGACTCACTTAAGACATAAGTTGCGATTTTATTTTATTTTATTTTATTTCATTTGAGCAGATGAGGTTCTGGAAAGGTTAAAGTTTAAAGGTTAAACTTTTGTCTGTGTTGTTGCAATTCGTGTCTGAGTTCTGAATCTATCAGCTCTGAGACATGTAGAGCTCTGAGACAGGAAGAGCTGTCACAATCTTTTGAACCTGACGATCATGTGATATTTCTGGATAGTAAGACGTAGGTAAGGTTGTTGATGTAGATACTGTTTTATTTCTTCCATGAGAAAGAGAGACACAGGGAGAGAGAGAAAGATACAAGGGACCTTAAGAGGGTCTTCACACAGCGATCTACCTGCAGCCTTAGTCAGCTCATATAATGGGAATGTGCACACATGTTCCAGTGTGTCCAGTGGGAGCTCTGGACATGAACCCGGGACCTTCGCTGTGAGCCCAGCATCACAGAACAGTGCTCTACCATTGCACCATCACCACTAACAGTTTCATGTTGTTCTTTTGTTGTTGTTGTTGTTGACTTTTAAGAAGAACCTCCTATAAAATTTATCTTGCCTGGTCTCTGTAATTACCCAGTATAACTTTTTGCTAACAGGGTTTGAAAAATGTTCTAAGTTCCATTGTCATGAAAAGTGATTAGCATATTTGACTTAAATGGAGAGGATGGTATTTTACTAGGGGCCTTGGTGGCCAGCTCACAGCTAAGGTTCTAGGACAGCCAGGGCTGGCCTTCTAGACATCCAAGCTCAGTGGCTACTCTCTACAAAGACAGCTAGAGCCACTGCCCAGGTTCTCTGCAGCAAGGTCAGGCTTCTGTTTCCAGCTTTCCTCCAGGCTCTTTAAGTGAACTTAGGGCCACCATGTGTTTTCACTTAGTGAGGACAGAAATGATTAGTTCTTGTGAATGTCAGTCTGATGGCTGAATGTTAGAGAAGAAATTTGTGTGTTTCTTTTAGACCTAGCCTTAAGTGAGATCTTAAAAATTCATGGGCAGGATCATGCCTTTGTGAGGTAGAAATTGGGTACCATAAATGGCTTTAATGGAGGTCTGTTATATATTCATTTACTTTTTCTGGAATATGTAAGAAAACCATGTTTTAATTATTTTGCCATCGTTCGTGTACATTACCAATATAAAAATAGAAAAAGTATGTAATTGGGAAAACAGGAACAAAAATGGAAGGTCATTCAAAAGGAATAATATAAAGATATATAAATCAATGATATTCAAACTTACCCTCAGGAAGTGCTCGATGGAGGTCTATTAAAAAATGAACGCAGACTGGAAGGATTTGTGTATTGAACTGATGTATTTTTTCCTGGAGACTGCGGCTAACATTATAAATGTAAATAGCTTTGGGAAGTTTAAAATTTTTTAGAGTTACACATGGCTATTCTTCTACTTTCTAATAATCCTCAAATGTGGAGATCTCTGTTAAGATGGAATTTTGTGTGAATGCTACAGTGTAAAATAACAAAATATCTGACAACTCAGGTTAATCAGTCAAACTCATTGTTGAATATGCAGAGAAAAATTGGCCTAATTTGCTTAATTTTTTACATCAAATTAAAAATTGACCTAATTTTTTTCATTTTTAACCACATTGATTAGAATGTCATAATTGTGGGACCAGCAGATGGTGTCATGATTATGTTGCTGGACTCCCACGAAGTCCACAGTGGTTTGATACCTAGACCTGGAGGCATAAAACTCACATCAGGCACGTGGGCATGCATGTCCAAGATTCCAAGATGAGAATGGAGAAGGGATTGCAGCATGGCCACCCCCCCAGGGGGTGATTTCTCACTTTCTGTCTCTCTGTTTCTCCACTGAGCTCTTGAACCCTGCAGCAAAAACCTCCCTCTCTCCCCAAAAAAGAATGTCAAAATTGTATCCTAAAGTACATACAAAAATTTTCCCGAAAGCTCAAGTTTCTTAAAGCATTAGAGAAGATACTAACATTGTAAAAGTTGTGAGAGGCAGACAGAAACAAATATAAAATCAGAAATGTTCAGGTTGAATCTTCTGTCAAAGATGCTACTTTAGTAACCTTCGTGGTGAATACATATTTTAAGTCTCATTTAGAATTTTAAAAAAGCTTTATGATGATCTCTTTTAGGAATCATTGCTTTCTGGAATCCGCTCACGTTCTTATTCCTGCTCATCACCCAAAATTTCTTTAGGAAAAACTCGGTTGATGCGTGATTTTACAGTGTGCAATTCAGCTGAAGGTAAGCATCACTTATGTGTGGCTTAAAAAGCCTTCTATTTCAGAACAGACTCTTAGTGAGTATCAGTACACAAAATATGTAAGATCGGCATTTTCAATATCATTTTCATCATTGATTTTTCTAAATATAGCAGAATCCCTTTTCCATCGAACATCAGTTAAGGCAGAGACTTGATTCTAATGAAATTACAGTACATGCGCACAACTGTTTTGCTTTATTCTTTGAATAAAATATTGTCCCAAGGATAATGTAAGCCGAGATGATTTCAGGTATATTGTTGTGAGGGTCTTAGAAGATTTTTATTTAAGTAAATTATAAAAGTTACTTAGGTACGATGTAAACATTTTTGAAATAATCTAACTCCACAGAGCCAAAGCATTGCAAAGCAGATTTTTTCCCTTTCTTTATTTAACCAGAGTTTTAGAGAGTTAAAATAACAAGGTATGAGGGAACTTCAAGAAAAATGGGATTACAAACGCATTTATTGTGGTGAGAAAGTATTTTAAGTCTTATTCGTAGTTCATTCAGCATACACATTTTCCATAAGCTTTTTGAAGACCACCTCGTCGTGTTTGTAACACATGTAAATGTATCCCAGCATCTGCCTTTGTGGCAATATAATCAACCAGAACTAAAACTTTTCTACTGCAAACTTGTAGTTGAGATATAATATCCCTACCAATAGAGATGCAAATATAAAAGTACAACTTGATGAATTCTTAAAAATGAATTTGGATCTAACGAGGGTAATTATGAGCAACTTAGAGCTTCTCTTTTAGCTACTCTTAGCCACTGCCCTGCTCTCATGTCCTGCTTTATTTGGAAATATAATTATTTCATAGTTTATGCAACTAGTATTTTGTAATAATTACATTTACAATATTTAAAATACAATTCATTTTATTCCTTCCTCTTCGCCTTTTTTCTTACTTTTGCCTTTTGAAATTGTGATTATTTTGCACTTTTGTGCCATGTAGAACAATCCTTGAAAACAAAAATCTTTGTGCTTAGAGTTGCCATTCTAAAATAATAATTTATATATGGTAGGTGTTTGATAGATATTTGTTAAACGAATATGATAGATGAAGTACATAAATACAAAACAATTGCTATTAGGTTTTTGGG